CTGCTGAATGGTTGGCTTGCATCCCAGCTGGTGGAAAGCACAGAGAAGTGCTTTAGCTGCTTCAGTATCAACTTGAAATTCATTTTCTCTCTCCCAGCTTGATCAGCCACTGAAGGTCATCTTATTTCAGTCGTTCCTAAAGTGTACGGTACACAGGGGTAAATGGGGTTTTCATTCACTGGGGAAATGATTTGTAGCTATTTATGAAGTAGTGTTGTAATTTATAATTTGAATTCTGTTGCCTAGATTGAAAAAGTATCTGACAGTCAACTGGAACCAGCAGTTCCATTTTAATTCCACAGGGTAATAATTTTCTACGATTATAAAGCCTTACTCCAGTTATTATACGTATTAGTTGGTGGGGTTTTTACAGCACCACAACGAGAAACTTGCCAAGCAATAAATTCCATTGAAAGGTTTCTTTGTGTCTTTAGGAAAAGCTTACATGAGATACTTCCCTACTTACATGTAATAAAAAGAAATAACGAAGTACACAAGCACACAAGTAACCATTAACTTGTGCTATTGTGTATTTTAATGGTTTTATTATGGACAACTTTCCAAACCATACCGACTCAAACGAGTGCCTTTGCATTTCTGTGAATCTATCCTTTTAATTTACAGAAAACCTGATTCACACGGATTCTGGAATTAAATCATCACTCCAGCTGCTACGCTTTAAGTTTCCCAGACCTTTGTGAATCATTGTGTGGTTTTGAACAGCCTGGTTGTTGTGACATAAATATTTTTGTAATTGATCAAATATGTTTAGGTTTGGTTGGTTTGTATTTTTAACTGAAAAAAATGTAATTTTTAGAAAGTTTTCTTTAATTTTTAGGAAATTAAATTAATCATGTTTTTAAGGCATGATTTCCTTTTAATGTCTTCAACTAATTGAAGCACAGGAATTATTTTGATTTTTGTCTCAGCTGTTACAGCTTTGTTGGGCTTTGGATATGTTTTTTCTAAGTAAGTCCTCCTTCAAAAGCGCTAGACTTTATTACTGCCTGGCAATTGTTGACCTACCTGCCTCCTTGTTTAATATTTTAGAAAAGAGTTCAGGCCACTTATGTCTGAGATGATTAAAAAAAAAGAAACCTGATGAATCAGATTAGATAAGCAGTAGGACAGAAAGCCAAATGTGTCAGTGATCAGAAGCAAAGCCACGTGCATAGGCTTAAAGCACAATTTAGAGCCTTTTTTTATATATATATATTAGTTCTAGGAGTGGAATGATAAGTCAGTGCTGCCAGAGACTGTTTGGTCCAGGCAGGGTAGCCACAATTGACGGGTTTGCAGCTGGGACTGGGCGTCCTTGAGATCTAGAGGACCTTGAGGTCTTGAGGAACCATTTATAAAAGGGGGGTCATATAACCCCATGCACTTGTTCTCTAGTGAGTAACTGTAAAACTTCCTGAATGTCTAAGTTTCATTCAAATTTCTTGAGGACAGAAAGCTAAATTGGATACAGAGGCACCTTCATCTACACTAACAAGGTGCAACCAGGCCCTGGAGAAACAAGTAAAATGCATCCATGTAGGCTTTGTGATTAGCCCAGATCAGGCTTGGAGCGGTGCTAAAAGCGTGCCGCTGTGATGGCATGGCATCCGGGGTTTTTCCTGTGCTTGCAGAGGCTGCCATGGCTGAGGAGAGGCACAGTGGCCCCAGGGTGCTTGATGCTCATACAGGAGCAGTCCCCTGGGCTACTGGGACCTGGGACTGGGGCACCAGGTGCCGTGTTGGACCTGAGCTGTGTGTCCCACGGGACAGGTTGGGGCAAGCCCGTCACTGTGACTGAATGCTAGTCATCCTCCTTCAGGGTCATTTTGCTGTTTTTTTCCTCTCTCAGCTGCCAGCCTGGCACTTTCCTTTGGAGCATTTTCTCCTTCTGCCCTGTCTGGTTCTCCCTCCCGCTCCACCTCTGTGCGAAGTGCCTGACAGAGGCAGGGAGCCATCGGCCACAGGCTGTTGACTGGCCTCTGGGGAGGACACCCTTGCAGAGGGCAGAGTCTTTGTCCCCCAGGAATGCTGACATTCAAGGGTTGTCTGCAAGCGTGGGACACCCTCACTGTGCCCTTCTGATTCCATACAATTTGTTTGCCAAAGCTAGAAACTGCTGTGAGTTATAGCCAGCATCCCCTGGTAGGGCTGCAAAGGACACATAAAGACGCTGAGAGGCTTGGGCACTGGAGACCTCCAAGTTTATGCTGCTACTGTGTTTTCCCCGGTACTTTGACTGCTGGGTTCACACGTTGCCACCAAATTGTGCTTTAAAATATATGTATACATTGTGGTTGTATAACTTTGTGACCGTAAGGGGAACCGCAGTCCTGTGGACCCGTAATGCCACTTCTGCAAAAGCTGCCAAAGAATCGCCCCATTCAGCTTGGGGCCTGCTCTGTGGATTCTGATTATGCAGCTGCAAAATGTGGTATTTTCTTAACATGCCACTGAATTTAGCATTTTTTTTCCTGTGGAACTTTCTATTCTGCTGAAGCCAGGTGCTTGACATTTTTCTGTCAGGCTTTTGGGGGTAGGGGAGCAAGAAATCTTCCAGCAGCTGCTTCTTGTTTTAGGCTGTTCTCTGGGGAGCAGCTAATTGAATTACAGGCCTGAAAACTGAAGAGATGGGGCTTGGCACTGGCATACCTGGCACGAGGGAAGGTCCTTGACAGCAGTGCATGGGCATGCTGCTGCCGAGCAGATCCTGGTAATAGGGAGAAGAGAGGAAAAAAAGAAAAGTACCGTCCTCAGTCACTGACTGGTTTCAACCCAGTGTGAGCTTTTGAGTCGAGTCCCATAGTAGCTTGGGGAACTTGGAGCTGTAAATGAAGGGGTATTTGCCAGACATGGATTGATGCTCAGTCTGGGTGCCCTTTAATGAATGATGCCTGTGAAGATTTGCCTGGTGGTGAAAAATTTGTCAGGCACCAGCAGCATTTCACATGTGCTTCCCTGGCTCGGACGGGCACAGGACAGCCTCCTCAGGCTGCCATGTGCCTGGTGTGGTACCTCTGCTGCTGCAGGCGTGGTGGTGTGGGAACTGGCCTGTGGGAAGGGCTTGTCATTGGTGTGGGCATGGTGTCCTTTTTGCAGACTTTGCTCTGGGACATGCTGTAAAAATGTCCTTCAGCCTTTTCATGAGAGCTCTGCCCTATGTCCAAGCTCAAGTGCTCTGGCATCAGGCGCAGGAACCACAGCCAGTCACAGCTGGACACTGCCAAGGGCAGCAAGGATGTATTGTCAATTGTTGCCATTTATAGTACAAGAGCAAAGTTGATGCTAACTCTACGTATCTTCCCAGGGACGTGGCACATCTTCAGTTGAACCCAAACTGCCAACCTCTCCTTTTCCTTTGTGAGGCTGCACCCACATATGCAAAATAGCAGGATCTGAGGTTGGGGTTTGTGTGTTAGACAGAATGAAGCCTTTTAGATAACCATACATCGCTCCTAGGGTGTCTTATTAAGCCCAGCTAGCATAGTTTGCAAATGAGAACAGGTTTGGGTTTTTTTTTAAGTTAGTTTTTTCTTACTGTTCTCCCAAACCACCATGGGACACTTGGTGCCACATGGGACAGCCCACGTCTAACACATTGACACACATTGGGAGTGCCTGTCTTCTTGCAGGACACCTGCTTCTCCCCAGGAATCACTACTAGGCTGGGAAATGCAGCCCAGTGGGGCTTGGGCCACAGTGACAGGGAACCAAGCTACTGCAGGTGACCTCTGTTCCTCTTGAAGCCGCTGGATGGAGGAAAGCCCTTTGAAAGTGTCCTGCTTTCCTCTATAGCGTGTGCGTGGAGAGTTCGGAGGGGCTGCTGGGTCTTTTGAATGGAGAAATCAGGCAGCCTGCCCCATACTTAGTGTTCGTGCAGTGTGAACGTGCCATGGATCTCACACGGGATGAGGCCATACATCCACTTGTGGAGGCAAAGAGCCAACCACAGCTGCATTTAATTCTCCCCTACACTGCAGCAGTGGCTGCATGCGCTTGGTGTGCCCACCATGGCAGGGGCAGCAGAAAGGCTGGGAGATGGTGCAGGGCCGGCGGGAAGCCAGGCCACAGTGCTGCCCCGTGCTGGAAGGCTTCTGGCCCTTTCCCCGGAAGTCTGCAGGCCCCTTTGTTTTCTTCACGTACACTTGGGCTGCTTTAATTTCAGAGTTACTGGAAAGCCACTGCTTCATTTAAATCACTATCAGGCATTTTAAGAATGTAGTATTAGCATTTATCAAGCAGACTGATGATGTTAAGAAATGACAGTACACTTGTTTCCAGTTTTTAATGCTTTCTTTGCAAAACTGAAAATATAAAACCAGCTGAGCAAATGAAGATCTTTATATACATGAGGTCTGTGATTAAAAAAATCCTTAGTTTAAAAAAAAAAAGAAAAAAAAGAGAAGAATTGACCAATGAGTTAAATGAAAACTGATTAAAGGGACCAACATTCTCAAATTGAAACATACTTTTTCAGGGGAAAAACCCCTTCTTTACAAGTTTATTAATATAACTTACATTTACACTTTACTGAGAGAACTTACAAAAACAAGCTGCTTGAAATGCTCCTCATTCCCTTAAAGCATGAATTTCAAAGTGCCACAGCAAAGGAACGGGTTCCAATATTATCTTATACAGACTATTCATGTATAAAATGGTTTGGTAAATGTGAGGTGTTTATTTTAATCAGCACATATAGGGATACAGGCTAAATAAAAGTACTTGAACACCTTTGTTATTACATACACAGTTATAGGTATAATAAAGGAAACAAGGTGAGCACTGCTCTTAGGTATCTGTATAGATGGAAGGAATGTGATTCAAGCAGTGATCAAAGGCGCCGTTTTGGAAGAATCCATTGTCATCAGTTCCGTTGGAGACCATGTCTTCAGATACACACTGTGCTTCAGAGATTGCATCATAGCCTGAAAGCGTGACAAATTGTACGGACATGATTTAGTACCACAGTACATATAAGGAAGGAAGCATTGTTTGAGGCCTGGGATTACACAGTACAGCACAGTGTTAATGAAAAGACAATAGGGTTTACCATCAAAGCTTTACCCAGGAGATACACAAACTAATCTCCATGGGCATTTGTGTCATAGTAGATGCAGCTCCCATTCGTTTCTGCGGAAAGCTACCCATTTGCAAGTGAAGTGCAAGTATCAGGGTATGACTCTCTTGGGACTTTACAGTCATTATCTGAATAGGATGTCAAAACAATGAGTGGGCAAGGATCCTAGTAAATGTGCACTAAAAGTGATGCAGTCCTCTTGTTTTGTATGTTTTTCCTTTTAATGGCATTTAGGAAAAATGTTCCATGTGTCTCCCAGCTGCTCTTAACATCCAAAAGAAGTCTGGATCCTACATTTATTGGATCCCCACATACTGCAGAAGTGAGGTCTGTCGAAGCATGTCTGGGTCAGGTCAGGCTCACAGGATGTGTGGAAGGAGCTGTGCACCACATTGTCCTCAGCCCACCAAAGTCCACCATGCTGCTGGCTCCTCACCTGGCTGAGCTGGCTGGCGCTTGCCAGTCTACCAGAAAGCTGCTATGGCAGGGAAGTGTTTCTCTGTTCTCCTCTTATAATGCAAAACTTCCACAGCTGTTACAAGCCTCCCTGAGCTGTGCATCCCTGTGGAAAGGAACAGCTTTGCCTGCTACCAGGTGCTGTGGCAGTTGGAGTGCTAGGGAGTCCAAAACAAAAGGTTTATTGCCTACCCCGAAGGACATGAAAACTCCCTGTCATATCCCACTATAACCCGCTTCTGCAACTGGTCAGTCAAGGCTCACGTGCACAGCCTCATTTTACTGCAGTCCAGCTCTTCCCTTACTTCCCCCTGCTGTGTTCACCCCTTACCCTGCCCTTCTTTCCGCATCTGTCCCTTCGCCTGCTCTTCTCCTCACATCAGCCAGACCCTCCTACTGCCCCAGGGTACTGCTGTCTGCCTGGGGCTAGGCAAGCTCCTCAGCCTTCTCCTTCAACAGTTTTTTAACCCACCGCTCTGCCCTCTCCCAAACTACTGCATGAAACATTGACCCCCTACATTCATCCTTTAACACATGTATACATGTATTCTGTTTTATCCTGTAACACCTGATTTGGGTTCAGTCTTTAGGAAAGTGTCTGTGTAAGCTTCAGCGGAAGGTTCTGACCCCTGCACCCAGCCCACAGAGCCCACCTACCACAATTTTAATAATCATCAGCAGCATTAAATCAGCTGAGGCAATACACAGAACACAATTCTCCTAGTTAAGAACACGCCTGTGAACTAAATGCCTGACATAGAAAATAAATCTCTTACAAATCACATTTGTGTGAATTGCAAGTCAATGTGTGATGGCTGATCCTTGTGGTTAAAGCACTGGGACCTGGCTCCATTCTCCGCTTGATGGAGGAACTCTGTGGAGCCATTGGGAAACAACTGTTTTTCTGTGCTTCAGTTCCCCACCTGGAAAAGGAGGCTGTTTCTTCTCTTCAGCCTTTCTCTCATCCCTTCCGCCCGCCTAACTCTGCAGGCAAGTGTGTCTAGATATGGCTGAATCTGGCACTGCACCAGGCTGACGTAACAGTAACGACAGATCCTGTGGTCTTCCACAGCCAGTCCTGATTTCAGAAAGAACCATCGGCTCAGTCCTCAGAACTTAATTATAGGTATTTTGCTATTAGGTATGTTTTTATTATTTGAGAACAAATTCTCTACTTATTTACATTTCAGCATTTTCCTATGACGTATTAACTTACTGTTACTTTACAGGTCAAATTCTGCTCTCTGCAGAAATCTGGCATGCAGCGAATGTCCAATGTCTCTGGAAGACAAACTTGGCCTGTTTATCTGCCTGCCCTGTGCTGTGTCGGTCCAAGTGGAGTGACCAGTATTTTGACAAGTTTTGTGAGTGTTTATGTTATGCTAATTTCTGTTTGATGAGCCTGTATACAGGGTGGATACACAACCACAGATGGACAAAACCCAAGATAAGCATACACCCCAGAAATCATTATTAGATTCCAGATAGAGTAAACTATCCAAACTCCTGAACAGAAAATAAAAATTTATTGACTGTTAATGTGATTCATGGAACAGCTG